AGGCCACATGCAGAGAGGGAACCTTTTCCACTCCAGTGCATCAAACAAGGTCTGAGCCTGTAATAAGCACAGCCCTAAATTACACTTGAGCCTGCTAACGTCCAGGCCCAGCCCCGGCCCCTGCAACGGGGGATTGATTGCTTGAGCCCTGGGGTATTCACTCCCAGGAATGCTTTTAGTGGGCTCAACAGCTCAATCTTGACAAACTCATTTTTGCCATTTGAAAAGGGAGAATTGCACAAACTGCATTTCAATTGGTATTCCTGAGCGGCTCCTGGAGTCCAAGGATGGGAAGGATAAGGCACCGGTCTCAAAAGAATCTCAGTGCCCTGTCCTTCGGGCGAATCTGTCCCAGAGGCCATGGACCTGTCAGGGACTGGTGTTTTTTTGTCAGCTCTGCTTTTGCAAGCCCTGTCTTTCTGTAGCGGCAGAAGAGAAGATATTTCTGTGGACAGACTGGTCCTCACCCCCAAGCATCCTCCCACATGGTCACCTACAGTCCACTAACGTGGGGGCCCACATCTTCCTGTGAAGAGGAGATCTTAAATTTTCCTCATTGTATGGGAGACACAGGAGGGGAAGAAAGGAGGAAGGGGGTGGGCATTTGGAGTTGAATAGAGCAAAGGCTTTGAGGAGAGAGGGGTTGGGAACAATGTCCTCTTTAAACTCCCTAAACGAACGTGTGTGTTTTCGCGTAGATGCATAAGAAGGGGTGAGGGAGAGAGGGAGAGAAGGCCTGGCTGTATGTGTAGTGCTGACATTGTTGACAGAGGCAGCCAGCAGCCTTTAGATTAGCACAGGACACGACTTGGATATCTACTGTCATTGTGATTTTCAGTCTGGGAACCTCCCTCTGTGTCCACATCAGGTGTTGCCTGGTGTCAGAGCAAAACCTGTCCTCTATTGCTAACCTGTGACCTCCTTCCAGTCCCTGGAAATGCTGGGAGGAGCTGGGAGGTTGGTTGGTTTCAGTTCTTCCCCTTGTATTCAAGAGGGCACTGATGTCTGGGGTTTTCAGAACTTGGAGAGGAGAAAACACCTTCATACACTCCCTTCCATTGGAGTGGAAAGCAAGTCTACTTGTTCCACTTATTTGTCTTACATACTTATCCGTTTCTAATCTGGAGTCCTGGTATTGTAGGTCTAGTTCCCTGGGGGGAGGAACAGGATGGCAAATTACATGGAGTGATGAGATGCTGCAGGCCTGTTCAAATGTCTGCTCACTGCCCCAGAAAAACACTTAAATTCCCTAATCCGGGCCCTCCATCGTGTGCCAGAGCAGTCTCCCAAACAACCCCGCCCATTCCTTTCTGCAATCTATTTCTCTACTGCAGCTGAGACAAACTTTCTGACCACCTATAGGAGGATAACACACTGGCATATGCCTCGGTGTTTCCTTCTTGCCATATTTTCCCCCATCACTAGCTCCTACCACGTGCCTCACTATGCAGGAGGTAACCGGATTTTGTGCTCAATCCCGGAGAGGCTTCCTTCCGGGGAGAAAGTGGGAGTTACCTGGAGAGAAGAAAGCACCCTTCTTAGCTTTGTTTTCCAAAAGTTCAAACTTCCTGAGAGGGTTACACTAGCAAGGATCACAGGAGAGGAGGGAGAGAAGGAGACACATCAAAGGTCTAACCTGCTCAGGGTTACACTCTGTCCTTTCTGGCCTCTGCTTCCTCTTCTGGAAACACTCAGATGGCCCCTCATCAGTCTTCAGAACTCAGCTCAGGTGTGACCTTTGGAAATTGTCCCTGACTCCTCCTTCCTGGAGTTGTCGATGACACTGTAAACATGGGTTCACATCCCTGCCTCCCTCCATCCCAGCTCTGGCCACACTGGGTTGGAATTGCCACACTGGGTTGGAATTGCCTGTAATGTTCCTTCCTTCTCCGGGGCCGCTGTCTTACTCATCTTTGATCTGTGGCACCTGGCCAGGTGTGGGGCAGCCAGGCAGGCAGGCCAGGCTTGCTGAGTGACTGGCTGCTCTCTGAGGGGTGCTCTCGTGGTCCCCTTCTGTCTAAGGCACCCTCGTCCAGGCTGGCCCTGGTGCTCACGCTCCTCTGCTCTGTGATGCCGGATCCCTTCACTCGCCTGTCCCAGGGGCGGAGGGGGGGCTCAGGCTGGATCATCTCCCAAATCCTTTCCAAGGCTAATACCCCAAGGAAGGAGGCCATGGGATCTTGATCAAATAAAAATGGCCACACTCACTGTTCCTTTTTAATTCCACCATCTTCCCCACCACAGCTGTGGTTTCTGTTGGGGTGCAGTGGTCAGGGAGGGGCACGGGTGAATCTATTCCCCAGAGATCCAGAACCTTTCGTTTTGAACTGGGCACCCTCCCAGCAATCTGCCTCTCAGTACATGCATCACCATCCTTCTGGTTCTGGAGGACAGACACCCAGGTCCTTGCAGCACCTTGCTTGTCTTCACCACTGTGCCTGCCTCATTCACCACCTGGTCCTAGTTAGCTTCTAAACATCTCTTAAATCCAGCCTCATCTCTCCATTTCCATCCCCCCCAACCCAGCACTCTGCCTGTGCTACCCCCTCCACCTTTCTCCTGCTTCCATCATTTTGCACCTGGATGACTGCAAATGCCACCTTACTGGTCCCTGCACACCTGCTCTGTCTCCCGCCCTCCCGTTTAGATTCCACATAGTAGCCAGAGTGATCTTGAAATTCAGATCTGACTCTGACACTCTTTCTCTTAAAACCCTCTGATGGCTTCCCACTGCTCTTGGGAAAAAGATCAAAGTCCAGCCCTAGCCTACAAGCCCCCGCCTGCCCCTCCAGCCTCTCCCCACACCAGGTCTCCCCTAGAGGCTCACTTACCCAGTCAGTCTGTCCTTCTGCCTCTTTCATTGCATGCCCAGGACACCCTCTGTCACGGGGCTTTTGCACTTGCTTATCACATGTCATAGTTGCAATTGTATAGTTGTGAATGCAATTATTTGATTAATATCTGTTTTCTTTAGACTGCTAGGCCCAGGAAGGCAGCACTGTGTCTATTTTTGTTTGCCATTGTATCTCTTTGCCTATCATAGTGTTTGGCACTCAGTAAATATTTGTTGAATAAATTAATGAAGGAAGGAAGGAAGAAAAAGCGTAGACATGCCTTGGTCAACATCTGTATCCTCATTTTATCGGAACATATTTAGTTCTTGATACTAATTGATAACTACTAACATCTAATAAGAAGAAATTTTACTTGGAAAACCTTGTTTTGTATATTTTATTAATCAAAATTTTAATATTCTAAGGAGAATCAAGATTTGCTCCATTGTAAAAGGTCCCACATGGCTTTAAGAATTAATTTTCATAAAATGATGAATGGCTTTTCACTTCATTAACCAATGATCATTAATTTTAATTCCTATGTCTGACACCTGTTCTTGATCTTTGTCCTTTCAAGTGTAATTAAAATAATTGTAAATATGCAACCATCGCTGAGCGTTACAGGTGATTATACTGTGTGACAGCCACTCTCCAGCCAGTGAGACTAGACTGTATTTCCTTGAGTGAGGTGGCCATTCCAGCTGAGTTCAAGCAGAATGGACTGGGGCAATGGGGAAAATTGGGATCAGAATGGGGGAAATGGGTTGTGAGGGAAGAGATTGGGGATGGTCTGTGTGGGAGGTGACCATTCAAGGAGATGGCTTGAAGACGACTTCTCTCTGCGATGACCATGAGCCAGCTCCCCAAAGGGCAGCTCTGCAGCTGTGGCCTCTTTGCTTTCTGGCCTGTGTTTGTTTTAGGTGCATACTCAGAAAATGGTAGACTTTCAAGGAGATGGAAAGGACTTCTTTCTCATTCACACCCCCAAAAGAGTCTAATCAAACATGCTTGAGATTCCTATAAGAAACAAAATGTTCTTTCTCACATTTAGAAGGAGCTATAAAATAAAACGCCTTTGGAAGTGAAGATATCTGAATTCCTACTACAGTGTAAATGACTGACATGAGCTCATTTCCCGAGAGGAAGCTTTAACATGGGAAAGAGCCTCAGTGCCCAGAATAAGGAAAAAGACACAGAAGGGGAGGCTTAACAATCCTCTGTTACCTGGGCATTTCCAGAAATCTTATTTTTTATATCTATTTTTTTTTTTGAGACAGAGTCTCACTCTGTTGCCCGGGCTAGAGTGCTGCAGCGTCAGCCTAGACCAGGCTAGAGTGAGTGCTTCGGCGTCAGCCTAGCTCACAGCAACCTCAAACTCCTGGGCTCAAGCGATCCTCCTGCCTCAGCCTCCCAAGTAGCTGGGACTACATGCATATGCCACCATACCCAGCTAAATATATATATATATATATATATATTTTTTTTTTTTTTTTAGTTGTCTGGCTAATTTCTATTTTTTCAGTAGAGACGAGGTCTCGCTCTTGCTCAGGCTGGTCTTGAACTCCTGAGCTCAAACGATCTGCCCACCTTGGCCTCCCAGAATGCTAGGATTACAGGTGTGAGCCACCGCGCCTGGCCTGTTTCATACCTTAATATGCCCTTGTCTGAGGAACAGGAGACCCCCGGGGCAGACAGTGTGGGAAGGGATGACCTCTGAGTTGGGAAACTTAGTTTCAAAGCTGTCCCTTGCTCAGTGCTAGGCTAACTCCACCGTTGGTGACTTTCGCTATGTCTGCAGGAATCCCCGTCCCTGGGCCACAGGAGAAAACTGGCCCCCATCAGCCGGGTCGGAAACCCCAGCAGAGCTATTCCCTTATTAAACCTCTCGTATCTCTTTCTGGGAGAAACAGGCTCTATCGTAGATGAAATAAAATTTTTACTACACTGGGGAAAACTATGCAAGTGAAGTGTTTTCCACATACCTGGGTCTGAATTGTTACAGGGAAATTTTATTGTAATAGGGCCCATGATCTCAGAAACCAGGTTTTTATCCGGAGGCTATTCTACTTTTATAACCGTATCAAATCAGTGGAACGTATGAGCTTATGATGATTTTGTTTCTCGGATCTGTCGTGTTTGTGAAACCAATTTCTGCTCTTAACACAGGTTCAGCCATGACGTTGTATCAGGAGAAAGGAATGAGCATCTTCTTCCCTCCCTCCCTCTGCTCTCTCTTTTGAACCAAAGGAAGTGTTTAAGAGTTTTCTGGGGACAGGGAGAGCATGTGCTGGTGAGGCTGGTCCTGGGATGGGGGTGGAGAAGACCCCTGCACTCCTGCCACCTGTCTGGCTTCCATTGTCCCCATGCTATTGGGGGAAGGTGGGGGCAAATGGGAGAAATAGCTCCCCGCTCACAGCCCACACGCAGGCAGAAGAGGTGGGTACGATGATGCTGTTAAAGCTGTGAAGTACAGATTCGCTGCAGAGGAGTTGGTTTGAATGATAAGAGGCCACACGCATCTTTTCTGGGGCCTCTTCCCTGTTGGAAACAAGGGAGCTGTAACTTTCCTTGACTTCAAGTGGCTACTCGCAAGGAAACGACTTAGCTATTTTCTTCTTCCAAGATGTGACTTTCTCCATCAATTACCTTGCAAATCTTTAATCTTAATGTTTAAAATATTACCTTTGGACATCTCTAGGCCTGCTGCGTTTGATGGAAAGGGACAATTACTTCTGGCCTTAAAATTGACTGAATCTGAACCTGTATTTGAATCTTCTTTTAACACCAACACCTTGTAATACGTGAGGCACATTTTTTTTACAGTTGGTGGGAGGAAAGAAAATTCTATATGTAGAAAGTTGGATGGCGAGGCGGAGAAATAACTATATTTTTCTTTGCAAAACTGCATTACAGTATATTTAGCTATATGTTTTGGATAAAGGAAAATAGTTTTTCTACAAAAGGTCAAGTGGGAGGAAGGGAAATGCCACCTCCTGGAGTTAACCACTGTTGATATTCTCAGACTTTTGCCCTATGCAACTATCTGTATATTTTTCAAAAATCGTCTCATATTACTCTTACTATTGTTTCATAAGCTGCTCTTTTCACTTACCAATATTCTGTGAATATGTTTCCATGACAATATATAAAAATCTACACCATATTTTTTAATGGCTGCTTAGAATCTAGTTGTACAGGTGCAGATTAATTTATTTAACACGTCCTCTGTTGACATACATTAAAGTTATTTTTTATTTTTCACTGTTATGTTAACTCTATATGATATGCATCATTGATAAGCATCATTTCGACATCTTCTAAAAATTTGTCCAATTAATGTTCATAGAATGCATCTTAGAATTCCCGAGTCAAAGGTATCCACCCGGAATATATGAATATATATGCCTGTAACAAAAATGTAAACAAAATGCTCCTCCAATCCCAGCCTCTCTCTTCTCCATAGATAATGTGGTATATTTACATGGGTTTCGTTAGTTAACCTGTGGTTTTACTAAAGATCAGTGAGACACAAGAAAGATATAAAACATTAAACAGCAAAAAACAACTTCTATCAGGCATTTTTCTTCTGATTTCTTTTCTCCTATTTCCCCACTCCTTCCCCCTGTACCATTTAGCTTGAGTCTCTTTTACCTCCTGTATTATGCATAGAATGTTCACTCTTCCATTTGGAACCAAGTTGCCAACATTTCATTCACTCATTTGAAAATACTTAAGTGCTACCAGGTCATGTCCTGTTCTATGCTTAGGTGTTCAGGGGAACCAAAGAGACCTGGTCCTCCTGCAGCTTATGAGAGAGAGAAAGAAAGAGAGAGACAGAGAGAGAGGAAGAGGGAGAAAGAGAGGAAGAGGGAGGGAAGGAGAGGAGAGAGAGAGAGAGAGAGAGAAACTTGTGCTAAGATACTGAGATCTATTTGTTTATTCCTGAACTTCTGCTGTATTGATTTATTTATTGTGCCTTTATCATACATTTTAACACGAGCAGGGAAAGACTCTTAGAACTATTTTTAAAGGGGTGGTTCAGTGGATCAGTTAAACAGAGATACAGGACAAATACCAAGAGAAAGGGGGGGGACCTAGAGGGATTGTTAGAAGGCTAGAAAATTCCCTTCTGATTGGAAAAGATTTTGGTACCTGGGGAAATTTCCCCTCTTCCTGCTGACTTTACATATAGGAAACCTGGGGCATCCCAAGATTCAATCAAAGCAATTTGCTTCTGTCTTGTGTCTAAGAAGAATTGGACAAACAACAGCAATGCTCCTGTGACTGAAATGATAAGTCCCTGGAGTGGAGCAATGACTTTAGCCAGTGTAATAATCAAATTGAATTGCAACATCCTCAGTGTAGTTCATTGATGTGAAATTGATCATGATGAGAGGAAAAAACCCATCAATTTACTCAGGCCATGGCCAACCTGGTTCCCTTGACTGTAGCCCAAGTATGAAATGCTCACATTTATTTTCCTTTTATTTGGATTCCTAACAAGTTGTATTTCCTTTTAAAATTCAAATAAATATTGACTTTTTTTTTTATGGCTGTTGTTGATGAGTAACTTGCAATGTAGATTTTTTTCCCATTTTTGAGTTTTAACCTTCTACTGTACTTCCCAGACTAAGTAGAAATTGATTTCAGAAAGTCAAAGGATACAATTCTGTTGAACGGTTTTCATTTTAAAATGATAGTGTAAATGAGCACATTAGAATAAACATCATGAAGTCCTGGCTGTGAGCATCAATAGTGTTTTTTTAATAGCTATTAGAGTTATTGAGTTTTCCATTTTATAATATCATTTGTGATTATGCTACAGTGAGCAGAGAAGAGGCGGCTCTGGTAATATAGATTACTTTCTGATGTATTAGGGAGGCATACTGGATTCAGAATCCAAGATTTTGGTTTCAGATCTAGTACTAATTCCTGCTAGCTGTGTTGCCTTAGTATGCCATTTCTTTTCTGTGAGTCTTAGTTGTTTTGTCTTTAAAATAATGAAAATAAGGCTTGCCTTGTGCATATCTTGGATTGTTGAGTGGACTGAAAAAGATAATGCATGGAAAGCCATTTTATAAAAGGCAAAGCATGATCAAGATAATTGTTCAGGGATTGTACCCACTAAATGCCAGCCAAATATCCAGGAATAGAAAATGCTGGTCAAATTCCCTCTGAGTGGTACATTGTAAATAACCCATTTATCCACTAATTAATTTTTGGACCTGATTAAAACAGTCCCAATGCACTCTTATCATTTTTAGTGAGAGTCATTTTATGAGCAAATCTAGGCTCTTCTCTCTTCGTGTGTTTTTTTCTTCCCCTAAGAACAATCAAATACTCCTTGGTACCTGGGCAAGGAGGACCAGAAGATATAGATCAGTGGTTCCTAAACCTGCATCTCCATCAGACTCATGGGGAACTTTTTATAAAAATGCTGATTCCAAGTTCTCACTCCAGAGCTACTGAATCAGAATTATCAGAGGCTGGGCCCCCAAATCTGTGTTTTTAACTGGATTTGTGTTTTAACCAGTGGATCAGATGCATGGGTGGGTTCAGGGCTCTGCGTGGTAGTAGGAGTAGGTTTTAGGAGGTGAAGGTCCTCACTCTTGCTCTGTCAGTTACTGTTTGAGAGTCTTTCTGGGTCTCCCTTTCCTTATTACTAAAATGTCTGCGTTTTTAAGCTGTAATCAAAATCCAAGGGCAGAGAAGCTTCAGATACTCTATAAACAATGAAGCATTTAAAGCTACTATGAAGATTTAAACTGTTCTGAGAACCCATCATTGCTTTTATTTGATGAATATTCTGGGATTTGGAAAGCCTCTGCTTGAAATGAGTTCTATGTCTAAGGAAGTTTGGAACCCACTAAGACTCTATGACCTCTATATTACCTTCGAGCTCTGACAATCTTTGCTTACATAGCCACAGTTAAAATGCTCTCAGAGAAAGGAGGTATAAAACTTTCTTTTGTTTCATGCTCTGGTTATTAAAAGTCAGCACAAATTTCAGCCACGTTGAGAGACCAGCTCTGAGGGTAATTTGGATCTTCAAAGAACGCTCCTCTGGCTCCTTGAAAAAGTTGTGTTAAAGCAATTAAATGTTATTTGAAGGAAAGAAAAAACGCAAGCTGACTACTGAATTACAGGAATAGTGTTAAAAAAACCCAAACAATCTTTACCCTGGGATCAAAGCCAGAGAGAGGCAGAGGGATCATGTGCAGGGGAGAGGGGGAGAGGGGAAGAAAGGGAGGTGCTGGAATGGCTTTGGCTCAATTAAAGATGTGAATGTGCAGTTTGGGGATAGTCTTCTGAATGCAGAACAATAGCTGGCAACAGAAACACGAAGAGCCCCGTGAGAAGTCACAACGCGAGAAACACTGGATTATGCATCTCTGCTCAGACAGGGGGCCAAATAAAGGAACAAAACAAACAAGTGGACATAATTGTTTGCCATTCAACGGAGCCACAGACCACTCGGCATATGGTGCGTGGAGATTCCGGAATGCATGGGAGATCTCATTCGGAATGACTATTCTTGTTCCAGAGACCTGGGAGCCAGATGAGAATGGGCCCGACTGAAAGATGCGGTGAATTGTACTCTGTGTTTTTGATGCAGAACAGTATTTCTCAGCTTCGTTGCCCAAGTTATTCACCAAACTTGGCTCCAAAAGACTTTTCTTGTTTCCAAAACGCAAATCTCTCCCACAAAGGATGAGGATATGCCATTACTGAAGATATTTTGAAAACACACTGCAGACTCTGGAGAGAATCCCCCAAAAGGAGACACAAAACTCTTTAGAGTAACAGGGAATAAGTGCGTGGGGTCCCCAGGTACCAAGTGGGGGAGGACTCACTGCAGGGTGTGATGCTTGGTGCCCTGCCTGGGGAGCTTTCAGAGACTGAGGAAGCCTGGGCTGCAGGCCTGGGGGGCCCTGGGAGAGGGAGCTGCATCTTGGCCTGTAGGAGCTCTGCCTTAGGTGCAGGAATTCACAAAGCACCGAGTCCTCTGGGTGCAGGGAATCTATGTCTTGCAGAAACAGGACATAGATTGAAAAAAACCTAACTCTATCAGTCAACCTTGCTAAGGGTGTTAGTTCATCAGTTCTGGGCCATGTTATAAGAAGGAGCAGAAAGAAATCCTCAAGCCAAATACATCTGGGAAACAGTTGAAGTAAAATGGATTTTATTTTTTTAAAAAATGCAGGACTTTTCATAGCTTTTGCTATTCTAGGAAAGGGATATTGTATGCAGCAATTTCTGAGTGTATTTGCTCATGGAACCGTTTATTTGCATGGTATCTCTTGGGACTAATGTTCTGTGGAACACAAAGAAAAGAAACCAGGTCAAACAATCTTGGGGACCTTAGTCTGTTTCCTCATCTTAGAAACCAGGTTACAGACCCCAAGAGAGAAAGTGATTTTCCCAGGATCAAACAGATGGTTTTTGGCTCACTCTGGATGAGAACTCAGAGTATCATGTGCAAAGCCATGGCCTCAGGAACCCAGGCATGTCTCTCTCTACTACATCACACTGCATTTGTCATCGTCACTTTGTGTGCTATGCTACAGGAACCCTGAGCTCGGGAGAGAGGTAATCAGGGGTCAGAGTTTACAGGGGCTTAAATGCCAGGCATTTTTAGATTTTATCCCACTGTGTTATACTTCCATGTTGGCCTTTGTTACACAGCATTACCATTGTCTCCTGTTGATGTTGGGCTTGGCCATGTGTTATGGGTTGGATCGTGTGCCCCTCAAAATTCATATGTTGAAGTCCTAATGTCCAGGATCTTAGAATGTGACTGTGTTTGGAGATAGGGGTTTTAAAGAGCTAATTAAGTTAACACGAGGTCAATATGACTGGTGTCCCAACTTGTAAGTAGAGGAAATTTGGACACAAACTCGTGTAGAGGAAAGATTGTACGAAGATACAGGGAGGAGACAGACAACTAACCAAACCTGCTGGCACCTTGATTTTGGACTTGCAGCTTCCAGAACTATGATAAAACAAATTTCTGTTGTTTGCCAAAGAAATAGTCATGAAAGTAAACAGACAACCTACAGAATGGGAGAAAATTTTTGCATCCTATGCATCCGATAAGGGACTGATAACTAGATATCTTAGACTCATGCAACCCCAAAGAAAAATCCCATAACCCATTAAGCAAAGTAGGCAAAGGACTTGAACAGAAACTTTCTAAAAGACAGAAGAATGGCCAACAAACATGAAAAAATGCTCACATCTCTAATCATCAGGGAAATCAAATCAAACCACCAATGAGATATCACTTAACCCAGTGAGAATGGCCTTTATCAAAAAATCTCCAAACAATATGCTGGTGGTTGCGGAGAGAGAGGAACACTCCTACCACTGCTGGTGGGACTGGCAAATAGTTCAACCTCTGTGGAAGCATATGGACACCCTTAAAGTATCAAGTGAATCCTACCATTTGATCAGCAATCCCATTGCTGGGCATCTACCCAAATGATCCAATGACACTCTACAAAAAAGACACCTGCACTCTTGAATGTTTATAGCAGCCACAATTCATAATTGCAAGGCTGTGGAACAGCCCAAGTGCCCATCAATCCAAGAATGGATTAATAAAATGTGGATACTGTCATACCCATGGAGTACTATTCAGCTCCTAAGAAACAATGGTGGATATAGCACATCTTATATTTTCCTGGTTAGAGCTGGAACCCATACTACTAAGTGAAGTTCCCAAGAATGGAAACCAAGCACCAGATATATTCTCCAGCAAACTGGTATTAACTGAGTAGCACCTAAAGTGCGACACCATAGGTGCTCA